GTATATAGCTCAGTAAGGGACGGCAGGTTATTGCATTTTCGAGGACCTGTGTTTCTTGTTAACCATTTTATTCCATGTTTTTTTGCAGCATACTTTTACTAAGCTTCATTTTCTTTTTTAGATATGATGTTCAGTATTGGCTGTTTTTATATAAGAACCTTTAAGTTAAACAATCAACGTGTCATTAAAGTTTAGACTTTCAACAGGTGCAAGGCCAGGTGCATCTTCTGATGGGCTAACTCTGGCTAACCCTCTGTCTTGTTTTGTCACAATCAGTGTTGGTCAAGTTACTTGAAAAAAGTAATCAGTAACTAATTACTGATTACTCCCCCCAAAAGTAATCTGGTTACTTTACTGATTACTTATTTTTAAAAGGAATTAATTACTTAGTTACTTTTTAAAAACATGATTTACAACCTGAATAAATAAAGAAATAGATCTTTCAGCCCTGTCCAAGCCGGGGCTCGAACCGGCAACCTTCCGTTTACAAGGCAAACTCCCAACTCTTGAGCCGCGATAATAGTGGTAGTGACAGGCAGGTGAACCAATCAACTCAATATGGAAGATGATAAACGCACATTGGCCCTCTCGATGGGAAATTTGAGTATTAAAAAAAATAACAAGACTGAACGGTCGACCGATATAAAGTATTACGCACATTGTGTAAGAAGGAATTTTCTTTTCACCAAAGCACTTCCAACTTGAAATATCACATTGATGCGAAGCATACTTTAGTTGGGCATGCTGCTAGGACTTTGGCTAAGGCGTCACCCAGCTTGCAACATACCACTCATGGAGCATCGGGGACTCTGTAAGTCTACCTCAGACATGTTCACTGACACAATTGCCAAGTGGATTGCAACAAACTGCAGCCATGTTAATTTTGTTGAGAACACGCATTTCACACATCTTTGGTTCCACGTTTCTAGGACTTTTCTAGGATGCTTTCTAGGACTAGAAGTGCCTCCCCAAGTTTGACACAGAGAGAGGATAAATGTTTACAGAGTTTTTAGTTAATATCAATGTTCAAGATGTTCAATAAACATGTTAAGTGCGTATATTTTCTCTTTTTTCTTTAGTCTGTTTGCTCATGTAAAATGAAATGTGATTAATATAGAATAAACATGAAATGATATTTAATTGTGATTAATCAAAATTAATCCACAGTAACCCAGTGTTGAAGCTGTTAAAAAATTGTAATTGTTTGACAGCACTAATATATATTATACCTATTACCTATTAGTATATATGTTTTTTTAAAAGTTGTATTTCACAGGAGATAACCTGTGTTAAAAGATTAAAGAAAATTATTCAAATTCTCTTTGAATGTAAGCATACATTCTTTGTGTTTATTCTCCATTTACTGCATTATACAATGGCTTGCAAAAGTATTCGGCCCCCTTGAACTTTTCACGTTTTACGTGCACCCCTCTTTCAGTTATTTATTTGTAAAAAATGTTTGGAATCATGTATGATTTTTGTTCCACTTCTCACGTGTACACCACTTTGTGTTGGTCTTTCACGTGGAATTCCAATAAAATTGATTCATGTTTGTGGCTGTAATGTGACAAAATGTGGAAAAGTTCAGAAGTTCCAAATACTTTTGCAAGCCACTGTATTGCATGAATGTCAGTTACAAGCTTAAGTATAAAGTTGAAAAACTGTAATTGCAGCTACTATTACTATTGATCAAGTAAAGCCACGTGATACAGACACAACAGTACAGTAGAAATGTGCAAAAGACTGAGTATTGTGCAAAAAGTCTTGCTTTGCGGATGCTGCCGGTGCAATAAGTGTCTGTGATGGATTAGTAGAGAGGCTCCAATGAGCTTCTCAGTGTTCTCACTTTCCGTTGTAAGGTATTGCGATCAGGAACTGAATTCTTTAAAGGTCTAAAATTTGTATGAATCTGTGTGGACATGCATAGTAACAGCAAGATGACCACTTCACATTTGGCAAACATCAAGTGGTCTTTTTCTGACAGCTTTCTGTGCATTCAAGGTAAAACACACAGTGGAGGCTCGTTCTTAAAAGTTACTGTATATATTGGTAGCTTAGCAGTCCATGCAACAGATAATCCATTTTTTCCAATCCACAAATTTCCCCATGCTCCAACAGTAATGATCCTGCCTAGTTTAATAGTGGAACATAAAGGTTCTTGAAAATCTGAGAGAAAAGAGGTAGCAGACCCAGATGGACAATATATTAAAACACTTTACAAAAGCTCATTGCTTCCAATTTTAGTCATTATCATCCCAAAACTGATATAAGAGCTTCTGAGAACAGTGTGGCATAAAAATGTCTTTTTAAAAATAACAGCAGTTCTGCCTCAAAATGAACCGTCTCCAGGACACAGTCCTAAAAGATGTGCAACTTCATTCTCACGCTGCCACATCTTAGAGATAAAAATAAAATCCAACTTCTCACGACAGAACAAGTCATTTAAAAGAAAGGACTTGTTAGCAATAGAGCATTAATCCTTTTAGCAGAGAAATACACTGAAGCAGCTGGAGCCAGGTACGGTGGCACAAAAGCAAAGCTCCCATGAATCTGTATTTTCATAAACCCACTGAAACCAACAAAGTAGGACAAGAAAGCCGGCTTTCTTGCTCAGCTTTTCTGTCAAAGTTTCTGAAGGGAAGTCAGGATCCTGACTTTTAGCAACAGAGGTACACTGAGGTCTGCCGCATGCTCTAACCACAGTGGAAAAACAAACTTGTTTTGATGAGTCTGGAAACTACCCATGGCAAATGTGATTGCTATTAGTGAATGGTACTCATATGTCTAATGATGTGAAGAGGCAACCTTTTCATATCAGTGACTTTAGTCTCTGACACAGTTTTGTTCTATCAAATCAAAGTTTTTAAGAAGCTGATGGTCTTGTCTGCATGTGGTCTTTAATTTGAAATATTCAAAAGACTTACCTGTGTCCTTCTTTCTGCCCTCCTCACCTGTTTTGTGTAGTTTGGCCCCCAACACTATTTTGTGGGGCAGATAATTTTTTCTGAAACATTTCTAATTCTGCAGTGGAGCTGGTAGAGCTGCAAACACATTCTTGAGTAATACAGTTGCACCCAGTTTATTTCAGAAGTTAGTGTTTATTTTTTCTGTCAGTATCAGAAATCCTGAGCTAAATATAAACTGCAAACACACTTGTATGAATTGTTTAAGAGTTTTATTGAAAAGCAGCAATCTAAAGTCACCACATTTATCTGAAATCTTAAAAAATAAAACTTTAGAAAAGTCATGATAAACTTTAAAAAGTGAAAATATGAGGTTCTGCTCTGTTATAAAGAAACAAAGATGAAACATTTTCAATTTTACTGCTTGAAGCTAAAGTACACACATTCACTCCAGAAGTCACCAGTCTTGCTCTTGCTCTCCTGGTAACAACAAAGTACAAAGATTGAATTACACATTCGATGCAACTCAGAGCACTTTTTATATAATATGCCTCATTTACCCATTCACACAAGCACCTTTTTTCTCTGTTCAAGTGTTATAGTTTCTAACATTCACATATTCATACTCTGTTGTTGTTGTTTTTTAACCCAAGAGTTACCTCTTTGTCTTTTATGGAGAAATTTGAAAAGCTTGGATGACACTCTGGGCAGCAGCAGCTTATCTTGATGATCACACACAAAGTGGAAACCAGTGATATAGTCAGAACGGTCATGAATGCAACAGCTCCTTTCAAGACAAAGGAGTCCATGTTATCTGCAGATAAAGGAGGAGAAATAAAATTGCGTTCAGCTGTATGAATTTAGAGTCGGAGTAGATATTCTTCTTAAATGTACTTACTTTCAAAGTCCAGCTTGGTCCCGTTTCCAAACACTATGTGTCCACATGAATCAACAGCACAGTAGTAGGTCCCAGCATGAGACATGTTCAGATCCTTCATTGGCAGGTTGTAGACACAGGCGTCTGCTTGTGGGTTAGTCTTCGTCCCACAATGATCATTTTTGCCTCCATAAGTGTAAATCAGTCCTGGACGAGATGCTTCAGTTTCTTTGAACCAGTAAACACTGTGTTCTTCATCACAGGTCCCAGCGTGTACCATGCAGTTCAAAGTCACAGAGCCTCCTGGCTGGATGGTCTCAGATGGTGACTGATGGACTAAAGCTGTGTTTTTCAAACCTGCCTCCCTTACTTTGACAATGGTACCCTCTGCAAAAGTTAACACAAATCTATAGCTGCATGCACAGTAGTAAGTAGCTGAGTCGTTGATTTTCAAATCTGAAATGTTCAAGTTATTTCTTCTGTTTTCTGTATCCAGTGTGAACCGTGGGTTGTTCAGGAATTCATCATAAAAAGTGATTTTTGTATCGTACACATAGAACGTAGAGATTAGCCTCGGTTTCTGTCCCAGAGTTTGCTTATACCACAAGATCAATGCGTAATCATCACCTTCATAGAAACATTGCAAACTCACATTTTCTCCAACATCAACTAAGATAAAATCTTTGTCTTGATAAACGGATGCCTGTGGTTGCAGATGGGTCTTCTGGACTAAATAGAAATCAGAGAAAAAGAAAATCGAGCTTTCAATGACACTAGCTGTTACAACATGTCTCTGGTGTCATTGAGATGTGGATTTATTGCAGCAAATGCAGCATGATCCATGTTGAAATCACCAAAACGTAACTCACCTATATTCCCTACGATCAGACATGTCAGATATGAAGCAAGCGTTAGACGTGCCATCGTGTTCAAACTGCTAGTCTGAAAGAAAATTATCTTTACCTTCCTCTATTCTTTTGAGATCAGACTGTGTTTGGTTGGACAGTCTGAAATCACGTGATCTGCCCCCTATAGGAAATGTGGTCACATGTTCACAGGCACTTTTTGCTTCTTTGAATAGCACTAAAAACAACGTGCGCCGATAATATAGTTGATTAAAAGGTTTTTGTTTCCCTTTTCTAGTGAAGGGGAGGTTTGTGCTCATCATGCTCTCAGGCTGCTCAAATGCTGAAACTAAATATTAATAAAAGCACCAAAGCAGAGACATGTATTAAATTCAGCTAAGTGTTAGAAAACATCTTGTGATATTTTTACACCTGCAAAAGGGACTCATTTGAAGCTGCTATGTGGTTTTCAATGTACTCCACTCGTGTGAAAGTAGCTATGTCTGAAAGTGGCCTCAGGGAAAACGTACAGGCATACAGTACAGTGAGTTTCACTTCTTCAGTAAAGCACCTTTGTTGTGCAGGTGTCTTCAACACAGCCTCCCTACTCGAATTCTGAGCAGGCATCACCATCTGACATCAAGGAAACACTCACTTTTGCTTTTAAATCATTCTTGAATTTCAAACACTACAAAGCGCTACATCAAAAGGTCCTGATTAATGACAAACAGCAGTTTGTTAGTGAAATCTAAAATGAAATTCATCCTTAGTCACTATAAGAGGATATGAGAGGATTAAAGCTGTGTCATAAGGCTGACACCAAGCCTCTTGCGATCAGATTTCATTGCTGGACTGTGCACTGGCTTCACCCTGTGAAGAGTATGCGAACGTGCAGGTAATCATGCACAGTGCAGGAGAGAACAAACATCACAGGTGGTGTGAAAGATGAGGTTTTTAGAGCTAACAGCGTTTGCCAATTAGAGATCTTTATCATACTTTCTGTGTAACCTACTTAAACATGCAAAAAGCGATTTTTCTACTTGCATGTGATGCAAATTGTTTTAATTGTTGTCATTTCTTTACGCTGACTTGTAAAGGTGTGTAATTTAGCATGTTCTTATAAATTTTGCCACTGGCTGATTTGGTAGCTTTAAACACTTAATGAAAGGCTGCCGTAGTTTCCCCTAATATTTATGCTATAATATAGCATTTATATATCCACCAGTTGCTCTTCTGATGTATGTGTTACAAAGTAGCTTCAAGCTAGTGTGTGCTAACTTGTAGGATTACCAAGGTCCAGGTGGAAAGTGCCAGAAGTGGCAACAGGAGAATTGTTTTCTTTGGGGTGGCTGTGCTTACTTGTGCTGCTGCTAAGGTTTCTTTTTGTATTTAACTAGTGTGATCTGCTAAATCTCTACATAAGTAGGTGTTACATCAGCTATTATGGGTTCTTTAGAAACAAATGACCTGAATAAAACAAGTGCAAAAGTGAAACATGGCAAGGGATACAAAAGAGAAGTTTCTTTGCGAACCACACAGTGAAGGACACTTTCCACCCCTCACATGCACTGTTTCCCTCCTTCCATCTGGCAGACGGTTTGGCAGCATCAAAACCATAACGACCAGACACTGCAAGCACTCAGAGCCCTCAACTCACTACCACCAAAGGACCGAAAAACACAAACAGTTTTGAAAACACGTCACAAAACTCACCAAAAGACTCAAAAACAACACAAAATTCCACAAATTTACTACAAACTGGACGTGGGAACAATATGCTTATCTGCACACCTCAGTCACATAGTTACTGTCTTTGTGTATTGTACATAGATATAGTTAGTAATAGTACCTTTTTAGCTCTTATTTTATCATAGTTTTATATCTCTTGGAGATAATTTGTTTTATATTCTTATAAATGCACCATGCGGGGCTTGGGGTGCAACGGCATTTCGGTATGCTGTATACTGTGTATATTTTTGTACTGACCATAAAGACCTTAAATCTTGAATCTTAAATTAATGACTCAGATTCATGACTGCTTCCTTTGTCCGTCCAGTAACCATGGACATGACCAGTGTCCAGCACCAGTTTGCCTAGCTGGTTAATCCCTCTGTTGTCCCTGCTAGAATTTCCATCAGTGAAGTTATGGGATCCAATCTTCTGAACTGCTCATCTCGCAGAAGACGAAGGGAACAGCAGAGTGTCTCCGGATGTTTCATTTTATACTTTGTCAAGTGCCCACCTTAAATATCCAGTCACTGATCTTCAACAACACTTTATAATTTTCTCTCTCTCTCTTTTAACATGGAAAATTTCATTACATTAGAACATTCAGTCATATATGAATAAGCTTCACGTAACGATTTATTCAGTTTAGATTCCATTAGCGCATTCACTTTAGCATAATCCTTTTAATCCACATACTTTTTCTCTTTAAAACTGTTTGTCAATCACAATTTGAGCCTGAATTAAGCCTGTCTTTAAAATCATTTGTAACTTTTTGCATTATTATATTGCTCAACTTAAACATAATTCTGAGTTTAAACCATTGCAACATTTAAAACTACTCTTTTTGTTCAAAAGTATGGGTGATGCTTGGGTTGGCGACACAGTCCTTCTCAGTCTCAGACATGAATAAAAAGGTAAATTGTGGATCATGTCTACACACCTAAAATCTAGAAATTAGAGAAATCATTTCCACTACTCAATCTGCATTTCTTTGATAACATATTGAGCAGACATATATTTCTGATTTATCTTTGATTAAAAAAAGATAATCTACATAGTAGCAGAAAGAAAAGCTTTGTTTTAGCACTCATTTTCAATTTTAACACGTAAGGCTGGGTGTCAAGTCATTTTACCACCTCAGCTGTGATGGCATTGGGCGGCCACGGGGACTTCAATCTCTCACCCAGGTCTGGTTAGGTCTGGCTAGTGAAATTCCACTCCGCTGTCCAAAAAATCTCGTTAATCATAGTTAATATGTTTGTATTGTATTGTAATTTGATTGTATTTACTTAAAAAAATCTTTCACTAATGTTAAAAGACTAACGCTAAAAGAAACAAAATAAGGAAAGTGGCAAATACTTTTTTACGGCACTGTTTATAAGCATTTAAATCAAATGCAGAGCTGAGTACAGGATCTACTACATATAAACATTGTGAATTTCCGATTCCAGCACACAGGCTAAAACTGAACTCATCTTAACATAAAGTTGCAAAACTCATATCAGGAAGTTCACAGACAACAAATGTCTTTAGGTCTTTAAATGCTGAAGCCTGTTAAAAATAACAAAAGCACAAATACAGATAAGAAACTCATCCAGTTCTACTGCTTCATACTAGAGTAGACACATTCAGCCTTGCTGTTGTTACTCTTTCTTCTTGGTCTGCCAGCTCTCGGATGCCTTAAAGCCGCATAATGGATGTCTCCTTCATTGTGCTGATAATAAAATATAAAATATATACAGTTGCATAAAATTACTTAAAAGAAATAAAAGACTGAAAATAAATTGAGTCAGTTGTTAACATTTGAATGTCAACACAAAAATTACCTCTGTGTCTGCTGAGGAAAGAGGTGACGTTCTTGGATGAGACTCTAAAAAAGAACAGATGAAGTTCTCTAACTATGATGCTGGGTTGATTCAGTTTATATTGATAGTAACAATAGCAGTTGCAGTACCTGTGCACATGGTGCTGTTTCTCTTGTGGGTTACACACAATAAAAAAGCCATTAAAACACTCAGAAGTGTGATGAATGCCAACGCTCCACTCAAGAAATACACAGAGACACAACAGTTCCCCTCATCTGTCGACAGACACCAGGAAACATTAAAGATCCTTGACTATACTATTATGTACTTTATAATAATATTACCAAGTTACTCACCCTTAAAGTCCAGCTTGGTCCTGTTTCCAAACAGTATGTGTCCACATGAGGCGACAGCACAGTAGTAGGTCCCAGCATGAGCCGTATTCAGGCTCTTCATTGGCAGGTTGTAGACACAGGTGTGTGTCTGTGTGTTGGGTTTCCTCTCACACTGATCATTCCTGCCTCCATGGGTGT